AAAAAAGCATTTGTTTTAGGTAATCTTCTGAGAACTTGGTCCTTGTGACTCCCTTCACCTCAGTGCCTCTAGAGCAGTGCTTCAAAAATTACCTGTGGCGCAGTGTAGAAGATCAGGTAACTGTTGGACGACAAACTGAGGGACCATGAAAAGAAAAAAAATATGGGTAATGTAGTTTGTGAATTTATATTTAAACCTGGACAAGCAGGAGGTGCTGGGGCTGATAGTGATGGCCTGGAGTGTGCTCAGGAGCACGTGGTGCAGATGGAGGGTCTCCTCATCATCCTGTTCATACAGAAAAATGTCTAACATTTGAAGTCACTCTGAAAATCCAATAAATCAAACAGGTCTGGAGACAACAAACATAGTACAGTGAGGGGCATAACTATGTGGACAAGGGCCAAATGACATGTGATCACGTCAGTGAGCTTAAACCTGTGATTCAGAAGTGTGCAGATGTGAAAAGTAAATAAAGGAGTTGCCTGAGATTTCACTGACAGCTTGAAAAAAGGCACTACTTAATAGTAACATAAGAGAAAAAAAGATGACCTTAATGGCTTAGAGGATATATAGTTTGTATATCTGGGGGAAAAAAAACAAACCCAAAACCTCTCACCATATAAAAAAAAAAAATTATCTCTGGTGAAAGATCACAGACACTTCTATAAAATATGAATTACTAGTAAAGGAAAATAAAAAGAAGACATATACAACAATACAGATCCATAAACATGAAATTGGTCTTAAGTAATTGCAAGCTTCTAAATTCTTACTCAATTTCTACAAATGCCTTCTCTAGGACCAGTAACAAAGGGTTTGCAGACTGGCACTGGCCTGTGGACCATACTTTGGTGGCACCGCTCTGAAGCACTGAAAAAAAAAAAAAATCACACTTCTGAATCTGAAGGGTTGAGGGTAGAGCCTGGAACGTGGGGACTGAACTGAAGGGTTGCACTTGGTCCTGAGCCACCAGCTGGCCACCTACTGGTCTTTTTCTAGCCTTAAGCACAACCTTGAGTCACTCCCTAGCTCAAAAATCATTTATTGTTCCCTTGTATCTAGGATAAAATCCCAACCCTTTAACATGGTACCCAGGGCCTTCCAGGCTGGTTCCACACTTTAGTCTGATTTTCCACTAGACCGCACTGCCCAATATAGTAGCAGCGAGCCACATGTGGCTATTGAGCATTTAAAATGTGAGTAGTTCAGGAATTAAAATTTTAATCTTTAAAATTAAATAACAAATCCGATACATAATTCAATTACTGCAAAACTTTTAAGTATGTTTGGAATGACCTGGGTATGTTAATCTAGTTTTTCAACTGTAAATTTTATGGAATCAAGTACTGAGATATGCTCAAAGTATAAAATACACACCAGATTTTGAACACATACTTGGTAATGAGAAAAAGACTGTAAACATTTAAAAACATTTACTATTGATCACATATGAAATGATACTATTTTGGCTATGTTGGGTTAAATAAACATTAGAATTAACTTTTTACTTTTTTAATGTGGTTACTATAAACTTACCTATGTGGCTGGTGTTGTATTTATATTGGACAGTGCTAGCCTCGACAATCATGCCCAAACCTAGGAATCACTCTTGATTCCTCCCTTTCCTTCACTCATGTTGACTCATTAGCAATACAGGTCAGGTCTAATCACCAAATATATCTTCAGTTCATCCACTTTTTCTCTGCTGCTACTATTCATGTTACTCCCTTCCCTCAATGTCTTCTATAGCACTTAAACTTACCAAAGCAGCACACTTTTACCATTCCTTTCTTTCGTCTCTAAACAAACTCTCACCTTAGGATTCTGCTCTGTTATTCCCTTTGGTCTCAAATACTGCTCTTAACTTACTCCCATTCAGGTCTTAGTTCAGAGAATACCTTCTCCGTGAGGCCATCTCTGATCAACCTCCAAAATTTTGCTGTTCTCTCCCCCAAAGAAATGCTTTATTCCAATACCCTTTTATTTTCTTAATGGAGCATATTATCTTTCCTTTTTTTTTTTTTTTTAAAGATTTTATTTATTTGAGAGAGAGCATGAGCAGGGCAGGGGGGTGGGTAGCGGGGAAAGGGAGAGGGCGAAGCAGACTCCCCTCTGAGCAGGGAGTCCGACCAGTCCACTTGTCTCGGAGCTCGATCCCAGGACCCCGGGGATCATGAACCTGAGCTGAAGGCAGACGCTTAACTGACTGAGCTACCCGGGTGCCCCTTATCTTTCCTTTCATAAAACTTTTTTATGGTTTGTTCCCTCCACTAGCAACAGGAACAGGGACCTTATTGGTTTTGTTGCTGCTTAATCTATTCCAGTATTTACAACAGTGCCAGTTACAGACAGGTGCTCGTGAAACAACTTAATACCTAATTGTCTGCCAGACATATCTGCTTGGTTGGTTCACAAGTACTTCAAACTTAACAAGGTGAAAGATGTCAAAGATGACTTCCTCTCAGTCATTCCCTTACCGGCTCAGCCAGATGACCAAACTCTCAATAACTACTTTGGTCATATTCTTCACACTATTTGCCACTATCTCAGTCCAAGGCATTACTCTCTCACAGATTACTGTTTTTTCCAAACTGTTTTCCATGCCTCTGAGTTTTGCATAACAGTCTGTCTAAAATGCAAATCCAATCCTGTAACACTTCTACTTAAGGCCCTTCAACAGTTTCCTCTTAGCTCTCAAAAGCTAATTTCTGCACATGGCATTCAAGGTTTTCATGATTAAACCTCTTCAGGAACATCTCTAGGCACTCCTGAAACAGCATTATCTTCTTTACTCAATAATCTCTCCAAAGTTTGCCTCCTAACCTTTGCACGTATTGCTGCTTCTCTCTAGAAGGCTCTTCCCCGATTCCCTTCTTAAAGCTAACTGCTTCTCCAGTCCCATTTCATTCCTCCAACCCAGGTGAGTAAGGGATTTCTCCTGTATGAGATTTCGCAGTATTCAGCAGTTTACCCTCATTATACTACTGATGATACCTATTTGTCTGCAATCTACAGTGTAAGATCAATGAGGGCAAGGATTCCATAGCAACCATTAGCTCAATGTTCACTCAAATAAATTCAGTGTGAAAAAAAAAGCATGTGATATAAAAAATTTGACAAATTTTTATCAACCGAAGCACTGAAAATATATTAAAAGAAAATAATATGGCTCCTATAATATTTACTTTGCTTCCGTTTTAGGCAAAATGCTTTAATAAGTCTTTACCACCTCAATATCACAAAAGGATAAATGGAAAGAGAAAAATTACTTATCTGAGGCCTCACAAAATCAATGGGTAATACGGATTTCACTTAAGCTTGTAAACACTCCTGGATTAAACTCTTGGCGCTGTCTCAGATATTCCCAACTCCTAACTATAGGAAGCCAGAAGCTGCAGGTTAGCAGCTTTCCCACGTGGGGAAGTTATTCCCAGGCTCACCTGTTAAAAACATACCAGTGTGTTGGGTTTCTTAGCAAATCATCACAAGTAAATTAACTTCCAAAGGTTATCTCCAAATAAACTTTTGCGCCTTAACACAACACAACAGAAATCTTGACATTGCAGCCACGAAGAAACAGACCTCCACCTCTGGGGTGACAGAAATCCAAGGCAAATCAGTGAGCAGTTACTAGGGTCTATTAAGTATGAGACACCTGTGACACCACCGGCATGTTGAAAAAAAAGGCTACAGGAGTAACTACATCTTCGTCATGAACCTGACCGCTCAGTTTCCGCGAAGAGAAGGACTATCCTTCGTTCCTCCCCTTGTACCTCAACCGCCACTCCCGTCCCAGTCGGCCTAGTTGAATCTAGGGTCACTTTAAGTTAAATCCTAGCTTCCCGGCTGCCCTTCCGTCTCCCAGGAATCTGCTACGCGGCCCAGCTTAACCTCGGAGTTCGGATTCCCCCTCTCTCAGCGGTCATGTCGCAGAGACACGAACGGAGGAACACGCACTTTAGTTTCCCAACTGCCAGCCCCCGCAGAAATAGGCGGGAAGGCTCGGCCACCAGCCGGGCTGCTCCGCCGCGCACATGGCCGGCCGCAGCTCCCACCCCCGTGCCGCGCAGGCGCCGGGCGAGCCGGGACTTGCGGTCGCCGAGAGCGGATCATTCCGCCGCTTTCTTTGTGTGGCTCAGGCTCTGCAAATGGCATATTTCCTTTCCATCGGTTAAAAACAAAAATCAGACTCTGTCGCCCCTTTCCTCTCGCCCGAATGGGGTCGGGGAGGGAGTGGGAGGGCGAGCTGCTGCCGAGGGCAGGGGCGGAAAGGCTCAGGCGCGGGCTTGACAGGGGCCGGGTCCGGGAGGGATGCTGGGAGCTTTGACTCACTCGCACACCATGTGTCCCTCCGCGCGCAGCACGGGGGACTTTTCGGTGGGGATTTTGGGCGCCGACCAGACGCGGCATTTTCGGAAAATAGCGCCCTGTGCAGCTGAAGCGCTTTGTGTGTAGCGGGGCCGCGTCAGCCCGGCCGGGTACGAGGCGCCTCGGGTCCCCGCACCACCTCCTGCTGCTCCCCCGTCGCCGCTCCCGAAGCTTTTCCAGGTCAGTGCGGGTCTGTGTAGGGCCCTGTTACCACCGGATGTGGAAGTTGATCTCTTCGCTGGTAAAAAATAATTCCACTTCCCCCGGAACCCAGATCATCCCCGCGATTTCCTGTTTATTGCATTAAGGCGCCGGGTTTCCGGGGCTCCTAGCCCCGCTTATTCCGCGGGGGTCGGCGGGGTCGGCCTGGGCGCCCGCTCCGCCCGCGCCGCCGCCGCGCTTTGTCCGCCGGGCACCCCGCTTCTGGGAGGGGCGGGCAGACATGGTGGCGGCCGCCGCCCCCTCCTCGGGCCCGGCGCGCCGTGGCCTCCGAGCCGGCCCTGGCCCGAGCGGCGGCCCCGGGGCGGGGATGGGGTCGAGCAGGGGCGGCGGGGGCTCTGCGGGCGCCGGGAGGCGGGAGGTGGGCGGGCGAGGGAGGGAGACAGGCTGGCGCGGCCCGGCCCGGCCCCGGCGCCCGCCATCCCGGGAACTGCCGGCCTCTTTGTTTGGGCGGCCGGGCGGCCCCACCGGGCTCGCCGGAACCGTGAAGAGGCGGCGGGGGCGGCCGCCCCGGGGCGCGCTGTGTTGCGGGGCCTGCGCGGCCGGAGCGACTGGCCCGGACAGGGTTAAGTGGAGGGCCGGGCCCGGCCCGCGCGGGGCCGATCGCGGCCACTGCCACGACCTCGGGGACTCAAGTCCCTGAGGGGACAAAGCCCGCCGCTCTGGATGCTCGGGACTTCTGCTCTTGGGACTTGGCCTCCGGGATCTGCGGGTGCACGGCTCAGGAAAAAAGTTGAGAATTTTGCCAGGTCATTTCTGCCCGGACACAGTTAATCAGTGTGTATTTAGTGTGCTTCGTTGAAGCTGCCCTGCCGTGTAGAATCAGCGTGTATGGCCTCGGGTGCGTCGTGAAAACTGAAACCAAAGGAATTATATAGGCCTGCTTTGTGTGTGTTTTCCCACTTTAAGCTTGTTTTCAGTACACATACTCTTGCTTTAAACCTGATTGGATTGTGGCGAGCAGACATCTGTTCAAAGGAGGGGTAGCGACCACCACAGTACTTTTGAAGGGGGCTTGGTAATGTGGAAATATTTTAAGTGCTCTCTCCGAACACTGATTTGCTGTCTCGGTTCAGGCAAGTTACTTTCTGAAGTACAATTTTTATCTGGAAAATGTTTTGATGTAGTCAGTAAATGATCCTTGTAAAGTAATTTTCCATTCCAGAATTAAAGATGCATTATAATTTATTATGCAGATGTTAGTGGTCAAAAATTACTTTTGCAGATAGTTATTTCACGTAGAGACCCACCCAGCTTGATTTAAATTTCTTCGCACTGACCTATAACCATCAGCCTTGACACTTCCACTTTCAGGTTCAGACTCTGAATTTAAGGAAATTAAAAATGGCTTTATGCTTTTTTCTTAATTTTTCTCTTTTTAAATATTTCCCCCCAAATAACAGCAGAAACAAAAATTCATTACACGTTAATACAAGTGACATACTAGGTAAGAATGACATTGTTTTGCATTTCTTCAAGTCTTTTAAATGTCTGGTTTAATAGAAGATACTTAGATTCTTAAGTCTACTGCATTAAGTCTGTTGTGGTATCACACCATGTAACCTTTGGAAAACTCCCAAAACTCCATTGTATGTTCATTTTTTTTTTAATTTTTTTTAATTTTTTTTTTTTTTTAAACTGAGATTTGTCATTTCCATCCTCTCCCCATACAAGTCAAATAGGGTAATACAAGACACATTTAAAAAATATGGATAGGAGCGTTGATTTCTATACTTTTTTCTTGCACTCTTTTTTCAGTTTGGGATTTAGTTGCATAAACAGTATGAAAAGTAAGGATTGTGTAATCTGCATATGATCCTGGAGTCTCAGGAACATTTGCAAATATTTTAAGTGACTAAACTTAATTTTTATTTCCACAACTTAATTATGTATGCAAGTAAAATGTGAATTTCATATTAGATGTGCTTGTGAAAACTAGTGTGTAAAAGCAGTATTTGAAGATAGGACACTGTCAAAGCACTGCAGGAGCTCCAGATTTAAAAGGAATCCTGCAGTGAAACATTTGGTCAAACAACACTTTAGTAACGCATATACATACCTTTAGAGTTAACTCTCCTAACTTAGAGTTTGAGTTCTCTCTTTCAGTCAATCTGGGTATTTTAGGTTGGAGGCCAGTTATACTGTAAATGTGTGAAAATGTTAAGGCCATACTTTGGATTAATGGTTTTGAAATGAAGCTAAATTCATTTCCAGTTGTTTCTGTGAACTCTACTTTGATTCTCTCAGACTAGTTCTCTACTGTTCCATCAACAGGAAGCATCTGGTCATTCTTGACATAATTGTTTGAAAATGCCAGGTATATTTTTGATGTTTGCTATGTAAATGAAAATAAATATCAGATTGGTTCTTGGTTAATTTTACTTGTCTCCCTTTGACCCAGCAACTCTGAGATTTATTTATGATGGACCTCATCTTTAGAATGCCCCCCTCCTTTTTCCCCCTGTCTTGAGTACCTCCTAAGTTAGGAATAGTAACAGGTAAAGCAAATAAGTCAGGAATTCAGAAGTCATTACATGAAATTTTGAATCATGAATTTATTTTGAGGGTGTATTTTTGAGGGTGCAAGTTCCCTTTGCAAGTAGCCTGAGTGTGGGTGAATTCACTGATGGGTCCATCTCCTCCCTCTCTCATAAACGTTAAAAAGCAAAGGGAAACAAAACCTTAAAAGATGAGGGTGACTTAGTTTTCTAATGACTATCATTTCTTTGGCCCCAGAGCTTTCCAACTAGTAATCGTAGGTTTCTATAGTATGATGTCTCTATCTTGGTATTACACTATTTTGAAGGTGTTTGTTCCATCATGCTTCCTAGAAGGTCTGTCTACTAGTATTAAGGACTGTGTTTCCCCACTGTGTGGACGACAGTGCTTTGCATAGAGAAGATGTGTTGGTGCAGTTGCCTGTCAGTTCAGTTGTTGGTGGGCTAGTATATTTTCATTTAGGCTAAGTACGTCCATGAGGTTAAGTGTAGAGGCTAAAGCGTGAAATGATTTCTCTACTGAAGGTAAATCATATGTAGAGCCGTTGATATATTTAGAAATAGGAATTTGAAACTCTTTGTCCTGGTTCTCTTACATTTTAATGGGAATAGTTGGAAAGGCAGGCAGATAGGGCCCAAGACGCTAAAGCACAAATACAGAATGTGCAAAAGACTCGATCATTTTAACTGTACATTTAATGTGAATCAACGCTATGGTATAATTTTTTAAAAAGTAAATGTCATTTTTGAATTTGGTAGAACAACATAGAACAGGTATTGGGGCGCGTGGTGGCTCAGTCGGTTAAGCGTTTGACTTTTCATCTCGGCTCAGGTCATAACCTGAGGGTTGTGAGATGGAGCCACCGGTCTGGCTCTGTGCTCATCATGGAGTTGGCTTGAGATTCTCCTCCTCCCTCTGCCGCTCCTGCACCCTTGCTTGCGCTCTCTCTCTCTCTCTGGAAAGAAAGAGCAGGTATTAGCCACACTTTACTTTGTACTTGTATTATACCTGGGATACTTATAGTGTGTCAGCTTTTTAGGTAGCATACTGTCACATTATGAGTGGGCCCTTAGATCAGTTCTCAGACTTTATATCAGAATCACCTGCAGAGCAAAAACACGGAGCTTAAGTAGGATAGGACCTGGGCTGCTGTATTTTTCTCAAGTTCCCCAGGTGATAGACACCTGTTTGGCTCAAAGAAGAGAAGGAAGCTCATCTAAGGAATGATAGCTATCTTTAAATATTTAGAGGTCTGTCACACAGAAAGATCAGGTTTGATCTGACTAGAAAGAACTAGGTAGGATCAATGAGTAGTAGTTAGAAGGAGGATTTCAGCATTCTTTCAAGATAAAATTTCTACAAAACCGTAAAAATGTAATGGGTTGTGTGGGTGGTAGGCGCTCTGCTTTCACTGATAATGTTCAAGTTAGGGATTCTAGGGTGCAGAAGTTGATATGCTGAATGAGGAATTGGGCCAGGTGTCCTAAAGTTCCCTACAAACTTTTGAGACTTTATGATATATGTCTAGGTTTGCAGGTACAAAAGTAGAAGAGCAAAAGTCATGAGTGAAACAAGCTGGTTAGCTTAACTGGATCATAGTTTTCACCTTCTTGGATAAAGAGAAATGAGTATTAAGTGAGAGAGCTATTTGATGAGGGCTTTAAACCCAGCTATAGGGGCACCTGGGTGGCTCAGTCGGTTAAATGTCTGCCTTCGGCTCAGGTCATGATCCCGGAGTCCCAGGATCGAGCCCCATGTCGGGCTCCCTGCTGGGCAGGGAGTCTGCTTCTCTCTCTCTGCCCCTTTCCCGTCCCCCCTGCTCCTTCTCTCTCTCTCGCTCACTCTCTCAAATAAAGAAATAAAATCTAAAAAAAAAAAAAAATAAACCCATCTGTAATTTGGGAGACTCAAAGCCTTAAAAATGGGCATATCTTCTGACATGGAAACTCTCATTTAAGGGAATTTATCTTGATGTAATAAGGATGTGTGCAGAGATTTAGCAGTGAGCATCCTGATTGCAGTGCTGTTGATAGTAAAAGCTGTGTATTAACATTTGACCCCACTCCCACATTAATCATATGAAGTAGATAATATTCTCCTCCATTTTTCAGCAGAGAAAACAGGCGTAGGGAAATGAGGTAGCTTGCCTAAGGTAGCAGAGTTAGTATGTGGTAGAGCCAGGACTTGGATCCAAGCTGTTTGACTCTAGAGTCAGTAACTCTTGATCACTGTGCCGTACATAACCTAAATGTTTCACAGTGATTGTTAGGATATGTATTCACAGTGGGGTGAACCGTGCCTAGCTGTTAAAATGATGTTAGAAGAACGTGAAGACATGAAGAGATGTCTTGGTATATGTTAAGTAAAAAAAGTAGTTTTAAAAACACAATTCCATTTTGGTTAAAAAACAAATATACAGTTGATCCTTGAACAATAGGGCTTTGAACTGCACGGGTCCACTTATACACAGGCTTTTTTTTTGACAAATACAGTATAGTACTGTAAATGTATTTTCTCTTATGATTTTCTCAACATTTCCTGTAGCTTGCTTTACTGTAAGAATACAGTGTATAACACACAAAATATGTATTAATCCACTGTTTATGTTATTGGTAAAGCTTCTAGTTGGCAGTAGGCTATTAATAGTTAAATTTCTGGGGAGAGAAAAGTTATAGTCAAAATTTTCAACTGTGTGTCTGGGAGTGTGTGGGGTGTCTGTACCCCTCAGCCCTGCATTGTTCAAGGGAAAATTGTATTGACCTCTGGAAGGATATGTGCCAAATTGTTAAGTGGTTATTTCTGAGTGTAGTTTTATAAGTGATTATTTTCTCTTTGCTTATCCAAATTTTCTGACTTCTGCAATGAATATATATTTTTGTGTATTATTTGTAACTAAAAGCATATTAAAATGTCATATTTCAATAAGAAATTAAATAACAAACTGAGGAGCTTGGATTTTATACTGTGCAGTTTATGCACTTTGACTTAGAAATTGCACATAAATGAGAATTTGTAAGCACATGAAGTGTTTTGTATTTTTTTAAGTTTGATTCCTTACCATTCTAGAAGTAATATGTTAATTGCATAGAGAACAGTCGTGGACTCCTACCATTCTGTCATAATCAGTTCTCAATTTTGTGTTTTCTTCCTCTTATGTGTAATATTTTAAATGTTGTATTCATCTCAGCTTGGTCACTCTCTGGCTTTCCGACATTAGGCAATTTACTTTAATCTCTCTGCCTTAGTTTCCTCCTTTGTAAAATTGGGATAATTATAATACCTATGTTGCGGTGGTTGGGAGGATTAGATGAGTTACTGCATATAAAGTGATCAGAACAGTGTCTGACACACATTTAATAGCTCAGCAAATGTTAGCAATTATTATTATGGGATCATAGCCCACTAAAACCCTTGGGTCTAATAGGTTTTGGAATTAAGAATTTTTTGGATATAGGCAAAGTAATAATGTAACCTTTCAACAGAGTCCAGTCCTCTTCAAACACATTACTATTTCTGCAGCAAAACCTAGGAAGGTTTACACCAAATGGGGTAAATAAAAGCTATAAATAGCTTTATGTCAGGTAAGGTTTTGCCACCAAAAGAGTTTTTGTGTTTTGGAATTGAAATTAAGGAACTTGTAGAATATTTATTTAGCTTTGAGTCCTATTTTATTTTAATGTTTCAACACATACCTTTTCATGTTGTTATATAGCTTTATGATCCATGATAATTTAAAAATTAAAAAAATAACAATGTTCAGTTCTATTTCCTTTTATTATAAAATATGCTAAACCTCTGCCAATATTGTTGATTCTGTTACATAGTGTAGAATCTTTTCTAGAAGAGGCTTGAGAGTTCCTCTAACCCAGTTAGCTTTCTTTCTGTCTCATTACACTTGAGGAATAAGATATTTCTTGTTTTTTTCTATTTTTAAGTTTTTAATTCCAGTTAACATACAGTGTGTTACAATAGTTTTGGGTGTGCAGTAGTAATTTAATAGTTCCATACATCACCCTGTGCTCATGAAAACAAATGCACTCCTTAATCTGTATCACTAATTTAACCCATCCCCCCATCCGCCTCTCCTCTGGTAACCATCAGATTGTTCTCTATAATTAAGAGTCTGGTTCTTGGTTTGTCTCTCTCGCTTTCCCTTCGCTTGCTTGTTTTGTTTCTTAAATTCCACGTATGAGTGAAATCGTATGGTATTTGTCTTTCTCTGACTTATTTCACTTAGTATTACACTCTTTAGCTCCATCCATGTTATTGCAAATAGCAAGATTTCATTCTTTTTTTTATGGCTGAGTAATATTCCATTGTGCATATACACACACACACATCTTCTTTATCCATTCATCAATCGATGGACACATGGACATGGATACTTCCATAATTTGGCTATTGTAAATAATGCTGCAATAAACATAGGGGTGCATATATCCTTTTGAATTAGTGTTTTGTATTCTTTGGGTAAATATGCAGTAGTACCATTGCTGTATGGTAACTTGGTTTACTACAGCAGTAATTCTTTATAGGAGGTGAGTAGAGGCTACTATGGTACCTCTCTTTAACGTGCTCTCCCATTCTGTAGATGTGGGCACTGAGGTGGATATTTATCCTAAGTCATAGTATTAATTATAGAACTGAACATTGGAATTAGGTCACTTCCTCTCATGATAAAATTATGGGCTGTGCAGCCCTTCTGATTCCTGTACTCCTTTGTGTCTATAGCACTTACCATGTATCCAAACAGAGGGAAAAAATTTAAACAGTGCCTTAGTCCAAGCTGCTATAATAAAAAACTGGAGGCTTGGTAGCTTATAAACAACAGAAACTGATTTCTCACAATTCTGAAGGCTAGGAGGTCCACGATCAAGGTGCAAGCATAGTTGGGGTCTGGTGAGGACCCTCTTCCAGTTGCAGACTTCTCTGTTGTATCCTCACATGGAGGAAGGGGCATGGGAACTCTCTGGGGTTTCTTTTTATAAGGGCATAAATCTTAATGATCCTTCCTCATGACCTGATCACCTCCCAAATATCCCACCTCCTAATACCATCACTTTGGCCATTAGGAGTTCAACATACAAATTTGAGGGGTTGGGGAGAGACACAACAAGCATTCGGACCATAGCAAACAGTATGTTGTTAAAATGAACTGAAAAATTTCCCTTACATCCTAACTGGCTTAGATGAACTCTTATATCTTTGCCCATGTGATTACTCCACCTGTGCCTTTAGCCATTCCTTTCATATAGACTCAATTTCTCTCCCTTCGTTTATTGCTATATGCATTAGATGTAGCCTTGACGGAACTTTTGACACCCACCACTTCTTTCATATTTACCGTTGTCAAATCTTTCCACCATCTATCTCCTGTTTTTTTTCACAGGTCACAGCATATTTATGGAGGAAGGTGGGTAATTTAGAAGATTTCTTGGCCATTATGAATTTATGCTGAACAGTTCCCAGTGGGCCCTTGCTACTCTTGGCAATTTTTTTATTAATCTCACATTTTTCTGTTTTCTCATGTATCTTCTTCCTCTCTCTCAAAAGATGCCATTGATTTCTACTTAATTGAAAAAGCAAATAGAGTACAAGCTTGCTTACATTTTTTTTTTTTGTCACCACGACAAGTCTATTCTTTCATCTTATTTTGTGAACTGAATGGAAGGAAGAGGATTCTTTTGCTTTTCTAGGAATCTTGCTGCCACACTTACTTTTCCTCTCTGATCACTCTGATCGTTATCTACAATGGTTGGGTAATAATTGTCATATTTAAATAGTAAAGTTTTTGTAATACATGTTTCTCTTTTATTATTTATATCCATCAGCACAGTTCTTCAGATTACTCTTTACTGGGTCTCAGTTTGTCCTGAGGCTCTGCAGTGCCTATTTCCCATCCTCACTTTGGAGTCTGTTCTTCCAATCCATCCTGCATATGGCTGCCAGAATAATTTTCCTAAAACTTTTTTGAACCCACTGCTTTTAAACCTGAACAGCCGGAGGAGAGAACATGTGATATTGACCTTTGTGCTCTCCATCATGCCAAGCAAAGTGAATTGAACTTGTACTGAATAAATGTTTGAGTGGATCACCGTTTGCTCAAAACGTTGAATGACTTCCAGTTGTCTGCAGAATAAAGTCCAAACTCTGCTTTCTAACTTTCAAACCTTTTCATATTCTGCTTCTTCAACCTTACTTCAGTCTTGTTTCCTCCGTAATATACCATGCTCAGGCACGACTCCCTGTCTTCTTCCTTTTCCTTTTCCTTGATAGGCCTGTCACAGACTATTCAGAAGTGTTTGCTTCGTGCCAGCACTGTCCTGATCTCTGGGGATACAGTAGACAGAGTCTCTGTTTTCTTGGGGCTGACATTCAGGATGAGGGGGGAGGAAATGCACAGTAAATATCAGGTGGTAACGAGTGGCATGAAAAGGAATAAAACTGGATAACGGGTTGGGATGGTGGGAGGTGGTTGCTATTTTAGGTGGTGAGGGAAAGATCTTTTTGGGTGTCCCGGAATGAGGGAGTAAACAATGAAGTTATATAAGTGAAGAGCTTTCTGGGCCAAAGAAACGTGTTTTGAAGACCCTGAGGTGGAAGCATTTTTGGCTTGTTCAAATAATTCCCAAGGCTTGTGTACCTCAAGCAGAATGAATAAGGGGGAGTAATAGGTGAGATTAGAGAGGTCGTGGGGAGCTAGAGTATGCTCCAAATATTGTCTTTCATTGAACAAGCCTTCCTTGACTACATCATTTTGTTGATTTAAAGCTTCTCTGAACCCATATAGCAACAATGGAAGTAGCTTTCAAGGTATTTTTTTATTGTGACCTACAGTAAGAAATTATTTTGCATCAATAACGTACATACACATTGTGTGTGTTTGTATGTGCATGTGTATAACTGGAACAAAGTTTTCATGAAACAATATACCTTTGATATATGCCGATATTTTAAAAAATGTTGACTGTAGCCTACTAAATGATTTCACAGTTAAAAACTTAATACTTAAGGGCGCCTGGGTGGCTCAGTTGGTTAAGCGACTGCTTTCGGCTCAGGTCATGATCCTGGAGTCCGGGGATCGAGTCCCGCATCGGGCTCCCCGCTCAGCGGGGAGTCTGCTTCTCCCTCTGACTCTCTCTCTCTCATTCTCTCTCACAAATAAATAAATAAATAAATAAAATCTTAAAAAAAAAAAAAAACTTAATACTTAAAAAAAAAAAAACTACAGACTGCTTTTATTATAATCCACATATTCTTCCAGGTTGTGAAATATCTTCAGTTAAAGATCATGATTTCAATTATTTTGGTATAGGTTTTTAATGTTTACTGCTGAATAGAGAGGACTTGTTTAATTTGGCAAATAGCTGTTGAATTGGATACTAGAAACTGCTGAATACTAAATACATAAGAATAAGATAAACTCAGCCTGACTTCCTGAGGCTTATAGGAGAGGAGAGCTTGTAAACAATTCTGTAACAGAGTGGAATCCACATATTAATGAAAGTAGGTTCAGGCCACAATGAGAAAATAGAGAAATCATTAATTCTTTTTGCTGAAAAGGTCAGCGGGAGCTTGTTGGAGGAGGTAATGTCTGAACCGAGTTTTGGAGGAAGAATGTGAGTATGTGGTGAGGTAACTTGGGGTAAGGAGAAGACTTCTCAGGCAGAATAACACATAAAGGAATGGTATCACAAAACAGAATAGTATGTAGGGGTAATTATAGGTAACTGTGTATTGTTGGAGCATAAATGCAAGTGGGAAGTGGTGAGTTGATGAGGCTTGAGGGAGGCACGGGCCAGATCCAAAAAGGTCTGAAATGCATTGTAGGAAGTTGCTACATGGGAAGTAGAGATACCATCTCTCAATAAGTCCAATACAGCCAGTTTTTCCTCAAGTGATGAAATACATTGCTGTTTCCTCAATTGTGCCCTAGAGAAAGTTGGCTTACATTTATGGGCTCTGTTGTACCAAAAAATGTTTTTTAAACATTAAACTTTCACCTATTGCAATGTTAAGTTTACTCTAGAAGAAGCATTTGAGAATTGAGACGTACTGAGGAAATGGGAGATTCACATTTCAGGGTAATTCTGGGATCTATGTTTATGAAATAGAATGGTAGGGGGCCAACTAAATTATTTTTCACTTCAAGTTAAATATACATATGGTTAAATTCTGTATTCTGTAGGTGACTGGAATACATGATTGTATGTTTTAGGAAGATATTTTGATAAAATATCAAACCACAGTGTAAGACTTTATGACAGTGTTCAAAATATATAAATTTCAAATAGACTGGGAGGAATATTTGCAACACATATAACAAATAAGAAATATGTATGATGTACTTCTACAAAGAAACAGTGGCAGAAAAACAAGTGAAGTATACAAACAGGTAGTTTCAGGCAAGGAAACGTAAGTGGCCAACAAATATTTGATAAGTTATGCAATCTCATTAGTAATTTGAGAGGTACATATTAAAGCAGAAAGTTAATAGAGGCAAAATTTTAAAAGCTTGCTAATATTAAAATTGGCTATATTATGAGGAAATAATAAACATTATAAACTGTTGTTGGGAGTATAAATTGTTTCGGGGGTGTAAATTGACATGGGCAGTTTGTTAGTATCTATTAATTTGAAATGGTATTCCCAGCAAATCTGCCCATTTTCTGCACTAAAGGAACACTAGTGTATGTACATAAGGAGGCACGTACAACTCTGTTAATTGCAGCATTTATGGTAGTAAAAAAACCTGGAAAAATAAGTTAAACTGGTCACAATACTAAAATGACCAAGTAGATTGGTATATCCATACTATGGAATAACATGTAATAATTCGAAGAAATGAATATGACATATCTTGAGTACTTAGAGCAGTATGTACAGTATGATACTATTTATATACATAAGGGAAAAAACCCAGAACAGTGCTGTGTTTTGGAGGGGCAGGTACACAAACATGCATGCAAATGCAAAGAATATGGTCTGGTAGGGTAATCCTGAACTGATAATAGTGCTCATTTCTTGGGTGGTGGATAGAGAATTGGGTTTTGGGAGCAGAGATAGGGATGATTAGAGGGAACTGGCTTTTTCAGTAATCTTTGGAATTTTAAAATTAGAATATAGTGTATATTTACAAATTCATTAAAATAATAATGACCAGTTGACAATAGGATGGACAATAGTTGGGGAAGGAAGGAAGCCAGGTAAGGAGGTACTTCATTAATATAGGCATGAAAATGCAGTGGCAAAGGCGGTGAGAAGAGGACTAATTTATAAATGGCATGAGGGTAGTTTCACAATATATATCAAAATTAGAATTGTATTTACTTTTGTCTCAGCAGTCCTTCAGGGAATTTATCCTACAGTTATATGAAACAAAATGATACATTTACACAGTTATTAGTTGCAGTGTTGTATACAATAGTGATAGTGTCCATCCATAATAAACTAAGACCTATCTACACAGTAGCATACTAAGCAGCTATACAGAAAATTAGGAAGCTGTCTATGAACTAATAGGAAAGATCTCCAGGATGTGTTAAGAAAAGCAAATGGAGAACAGTGTATGTAGTAATGCTATCTTTTGGTAATAATAGAAATAGTGGAAGGTTACCCATGAAACTAGCAAAGGTGATTACTTGTGTCTGGGGGGAGTGGTAATAGTGTAAATGCTTCCACTGAGACTTTTCCGTGTATGCATTTCTGGGTTTGGATTTTTGAGCTATACAAAACTATTGCCTATTGAGAAAAAAGAATGTAAGATAAAAAGAGATGCGAAGTAGACCTTACAGTATTTGATGACCAACTGTATGTAAAGACAGGGAGAGGACAAAGTTAAGGATAGCTCTCAGGTTTCTAATTTGGGAGGTAAGAAGGGTGGTAGCAACATCAGGGAGGATAGGAGGAAGATTAAGTTTTGGTAGGTGCATGGGAAGTTCTGGACGTGCTAATTGATGAATCCTTAGCCCTGTTTAGTGTTTTTGTGTGTGTAGGTATATGGGTGTGTAATTTATGTGCTTTAGATATGGAACTTGAGCTTATTTTATTAATTAATTAATTTATTTATAAAGATTTTGAGAGAGTTGGGGCGCCTGGGTGGCTCAGTCATTAAGCGTCTGCCTTCGGCTCAGGTTATGATCCCAGGGTCCTGGGATCGAGCCCTGCATCGGGCTCCCTGCTCTGCAGGAAACCTGCTTCTCCCTCTTCTACTCCCCCTGCTTGTGTTCCCTCTCTTGCTGTGTCTCTCTCTGTCAAATAAATAAATAAAATCTTAAAAAAAAAAAAAAGATTTTGAGAGAGAGCATGAGTGAGGTGTAGGGGCAGAGGGAAAGGGAGAAGCAGACTCCCCCCTGAGCAGGGAGCCCAACATGGGGCTCAATCTCAGGCGCATGGCACCCTGGAACTTGAGATTATTTTAAACATGACTGTTAAATAGTCATCAATAGGGGTGCCTGGATGACTCAGTTGGTTAAGTGTCTGCCTTCTGCTTGGGTCATGATCCTAGGGTCCTGGGATCGAGCCCCACGTTGGGCTCCCTGCTCAGTGGGGAGTCTGCTTCTCTGTCTCCCTCTGCCCCTCCTCCCCATGTGCGTGGTCTCCCTCTCTCTCTCAAATAAAAAATATAAAATAGTCATCAATAAATATTTTTTATTGATCACAGCCATTTATAGTCTAGGTTTTATGGAGAACAGCTTTGTAATGATGTCATAATTTTACAGTTAAATAGGGACATTGGTATACACAGAATGTACATAGAGAAATAAAGAGTGTATATCTGATAAATACATAGCTTATGTGGGGATCAGGAACTTAATTTATTAGCATGGTTCCAATTTAATTACATCTTTTGGTAACTGAAATTCAAAGAAATAAAAATAGCTTTGTATAAGGATGTGATCTTTAGAGTAGCTGAGATTATATTGTAATATTTAAAACAATATTAAAACTGGCTTAGAGAAGTTTATAGTAGAGCATGAAAATTATTTTTTCATATATACTTGTCACTGTATATTATACAAGATAAGGACGTTTAACCTAATGGAGGAGTCCCAGCATTCTGGGTGCTGCCTAAAACAAGCTCTTGCTATATAGTTTGGGATTTAAAATTTATTTGAATGAGTTTTATTTCAGAATCTGATTTTGAGGCCTTAATGTATCCATACAACTTTTACCTGATTTTTATTTGGTCTAGAGTAAAAAAAAAAAAAAAAAAAAGGAGGGGAGCACAGATAAAGCACATACATGCCAGGACTTGCAGGTGAATTTAGTAAATCTTTTCTAGGTTTATGTTAATAAGGATTTGGGTGTGGAATAGCAATAAAATAAAGCTGTTAAGTAATTCTTGCTGGAGATTTAAAATTTTAACCATTTCATATCTGAAGAAAAGACATTTTGCTGGCAGTAGCTTTCTTTTAAAAATTATAATAATGTTATATATATAATCCTGTAACAGTTGGAGATGGTCTTGCTTTAGTGAGGGTGAAACTGTTTTGTCACCTCTAACCTATGCTTACCCATTTACCCACTGTCTTTCTCAGTACTACAGTCCTCCGGTGCTTTGGGAAACATAATTTGAGAAATGCTGGTTTGGGGTGGGCTATAGTTTGGGCTTAGATAGATTTTTACCTCTTGTGTATCTTTGTTGTGTCCAGTTGAGTGAAAGGATGGTATATAAATTAACTTTAAGAAGCGTTAGTGGTTCTCAGTCAGGGATATTTTACCCCTAGGGGACATTCAGCAATATCTAGAGACATTTTTTTTTGATGTCAAAAAATGGGGGACAGGATGGTGCCACTGGCATCTAATGGGTGGAGACCAGGGATGCTGCCAATATCCTACAATGCATAGAAAAATCTCCTATAACAAAGAATTGTCAGGCCCGATATGGCAGTAGTACTGAAGTAGAGAAATCTTTAGTTTGCTGAATACCAACTATGTGTGCAACACTGTTATAAAGTACTTATGGGTGTGAATGGCACTAAAAGAAAACCTTGTCCATACCTATAAGAAACTTATAATCTAGCTAAGGCATCTCAAACTTATGTCTGTGAGTAAACTCTTTACACCTGACCTACCATATCCCACTTTGCCATCTTAATTTTGGCACTTTTCACCAAGTTATTCAGGCCAAAAACCTGGATGTCATTTCTGACTCCTCTTTTTCTTGTACCCTGATATCTAATACATGAGGAAGTTCTGTTAGCTCAACTTCAAAATAGATGTTACATCTGGGTAATGGTGGGCTAGAGTATTTAGACCAGTCTCTTTTTGAAAAGAATTGCAAATTCTGGATAAGATCTATAAACACCACCTTAAGAGTTTTGAAGAACTGGAAAGATAAGGGAATCTGGTAAGCCAAATTCTGGAAGAAAGCCTAAACCAAGAGAGGTTAGCAGAATATCTGGAGAACTGAAGCCACTGTTGGCCTGAGTATGTTTGCAGATTTTAAGAAATTTAGGTTTCTTTTCATTACACTTGTGGGGAAAGGTGGACAGAAACCAAGATTCAAAGTCTACCCAACATGTGGACATGTGTCTATACCTGTGGGAGAAGGATAAATCAGAGCTAATCCCTGTTCCCCTTTCATTGCTTACTTTCCAGCCAAATATCAAGGGACTTCAAGGCAAGTGGTCTTGGCACTGAGCAGAGCAGGAAAAAAAAAGAGAAAAGAAATAAGTCTCTATAAAGTTATGGCCATAGCCTAGCAAGGTAAGGGAAATTTAAACCATGACTTAATTTAGGGCAGTCCCTGATTTGTCGTGTCCCCTAGGTGCTTGGCAGAAGCAAATGAAAATGTTCCCTGGAAGAACACTTCTTCATTTTAGACATCTCTACAAATAATTTTTTTAAGGACACTGACCAGCACATAGTCAAAGATAAGCTGGCATACAAGGAGACAAAGGAAACATGAACAGAAACAACAGCAGAAACAGATATTCATAGGCATCATATATTAGAATTAAAAGATACATGATAAAACAACCATGCTTACTGTATTCACAGAAATAAATGGCAAATTCGGAAGACAGGAAACATGAAACTACAAAATAAAAAAGTGGCATCATAGATTTGAAAATACCAAACCCAACTGCTGGAAATAAAAAAATATGATAACTGGATTAAAAACGTAACGATGCAATTTACAGCAGATTGCACATCAGAAGAATTATTGAACTGGAATATAGATCAGACAGAATTATCCAGGATGTAATTTAGAGGGAAAAAGATAGAAAATATAAGTGACAGTGTAAGAGATATGGAGGATAGAGTAAGAATGTCTTAATTGGAATTCCAGAAGAAGAGGAGAGAGAGAAAAGGGGCATTTAAAGACATGATGGCTGATATTTTCCAGAACCAACAAAAGATATCAAACCAGGATACAAGAATTCTGTATCCATAAATCCATACCTAGACACATCATGAAGAATATGCAAAAAACAGTGACATAGAGAAAAATCTTAGAAGTATCTGGAGAAAAAGAAGATAACCACCAAAGGAGTGAGAATTAGACAAACGTAGTGACTTTTCAGTAGGAGCAATGGAAGTCAAAAGATAGTAAAAATGATGCCTGCAATATAAAATGAAAAAAACCTTGCCAACCTAGAATTTTATATCCAGTGAAAATATCTTTTAAAAATGATGGTGAAATAAAGATATTTTGGAGAAAAACAGTTGTCACCAGCATCTCACTCGTTAAAGATAATTTAAACCAACACTGTTCAGTAGAAGTTTCTGTGATGATGGAAGTTCCTTTATCTGTGCTGTCCAGTATTGTAGTCATAAGCCACATAGGGCTGTTGAGCAGTTGAAATGTGGCTAGTGTGATTGAGATACTGAAGTTTTAATTAAATTTAAATAACCACATGCACCGTATTAGTGCAGTTCTGTAGGATATACTTTGGGAAGAATGAAATTGATTACCACATGGAAGGAAAGAAATGTATGAAGGGCTGAAAAGTAAAGAAAGTAATACATATTTGGAAAATGAAAGTGAATCTTGACTGCATATAATAGTAAGACTCTCTAATGGATTAAAAGACAAGGCAATAGCAGAAGAGGAATAAGTGGGGGTCTAGGTTTTAAGGTCTTTGTATTGTCTAGAAGGAGGGTAAGTTTAAAAAAATCCTTTGTAGGGCGCCTGGGTGGCTCAGTCATTGGACGTCTGCCTTCGGCTCAGGTCATGATCTCAGGGTCCTGGGATCGAGCCCCACATTGGGCTCCTTGCTCGGTGGGAAGCCTGCTTCTCCTTTTCCCACTCCCCCTGCTTGTGTTCCCTCTCTCGCTGTCTCTCTCTCTGTCAAATAAATAAAATCTTTAAAAAAAATTAAATAAAAAAACCCTTTGTATGGAAAACTTTAAATATGTAAAAGCAAAGAAGAGTGTAATGAACTCCCCTGTATTCATTACCCGGTTTCAACAATGATCAACTCAAGACTACAGTGGTTTCTTACATATTCCTCATTATTTTAAAACAGATCTCAAGTATCAATTATTTAATCCATAAATATATTGTTTTTATCTCTAAAAATATATAAACTTAAACTATAATATAATTATTATATCCAGAAAAAAATAAACATAATTCCTTAATATCACTACATATTTAGGCAGCATTCACTTTCCTTAATTATCTGCAAAATGACTTTTTTTTTTTAAATAAATACAACATTCACCTTTATTGAAATGTCTTATGGAACCAAAAAAGGGAAGTACTGAACATCTAACAGCTGGGAACTTTCTCAAGTATTTCCTTAACTATCCAAAATGGTTTTTTTTTTATTATGTTAATCACCATGTATTACATCATTAGTTTTTGATGTCAAAATTTTTTTTTTAACATTTATTATTTTTTTTAAGGCAGTTTTAGGTTCACAGCAAACTTGAGGGGAAAGCACAGAGATTTCCCATACACCACCTGCCCCCATACATGCATAACCTCTCCCATGATGCTTTTCTTTGGAATTCTCTCTCCTCTTCTTCTGGAATTCCAATTAAGACATTCTTACTCATATCCTCCACCAGAGTGGTACATTTGTTACAATTGATGAACCTACACTGGCACATTGTAATCACCCAAAGTCTGTAGTTTACAGTATGATTCATTATTGGTGTACATTCTCTGAGTTTGGGCAAATACATGATGACATGTGTCCATCATTATGGTATCATACCAAATATTTTCACTGCCCTAAAGAAAGTTTTTAAAAAATTTACATTTAGTTTCTTCAAATTGGAATCCAAACAGGGTCCACACATTGTCATTGGTTGATGCCTGCTTAGTCTTTTAAAACAAGATTTTCATTAACTTTGGACTTTAATGCATGGTGTAATTTCTAGGGAACATCTACAAGAACAAAAATAGAGAATATAACTTCCAAATCAGTAAAAGAAATAGATAAAATGTTAAAAAAAGAATCAGTCCAAAAGAAGGCAAGAGAGAAAAGAACCTGAACAGGTAAGGAATAGAGAGCACAAAATTAGATGCTAGATTTAAGCTTAGATATATAATAATTAAAGATAAAAAGTCTAAATGATTACATAGGTATCATCCTAGCCTAAGGCACTATCAGCTCTTGCCTGGAATAATTTCCCAACTAGTATTCCTGCCTCAATTCTTGCTTTCCTCTATGGACTACCTATATAAAACAGGAGTAGTTTTTAAAAAATATAAATCAGATCTTTCTACCATCTTGCCATAATGGTGCACATGAATGTCTTGGCAGATTCTCTCAAGAGCATTAACAATGCCAAAAAGAGAGGCAAACACCAGGTTCTTATTAGGCCATGCCCCCAAGTCATGTCCGGTTTCTAACTGTGATGATGAAGCATGGTTACATGGGCGAATTTGAAATCATTGGTGATGACAGAGCTGGGAAAATTGTTGTGAGCCTCATGGGTGGGTTAAACAAGTGTGGAGTGATCAGCCCCAGATTTGATGTGCAACTCAAAGATCTAGAAAAATGACAGAATAATCTGCTCCTATCCTGCCAGTGTGGTTTCATTGTACTAAGCTGGCATCATGGACCACAAAGAAGCAAGACAAAAACATGCAGGTCGGAAAATCCTGGGATTCTTTTTCTAGGGATGTAATACGTATGTGCAAATAAAATGCCTCAATGGACAAAATATACATACACACACACACACACATACATATATAACATATAAATCATATCACAACACTCTCCTGTTTAAAATGTTCCAGCAACTTCCTAGTAAGTGAAATCCATACTTCTTACTAGTGCCAAAAGCCCTATGTAATGTGATTGCATATCCTGCTCTCCTTTTTCCGTATAGCCCAGGGCCTTATACTTGCTCTTCCATCTCCCTGGATCACCAGGAACAGTCAGAATTCTTAGTTCTTAAAAAAAAAAGAGGGGGGGTGCTTAATTCTAAAAACTGGGAACCACGTCTGGTTAATTTAGCAGAAAAGGAATTGTCACAGAAGAAACCACTACCACTACTGTCATTGGAATCTGCTTCCACTCTTGCCATAATGGATTCTGTGTACTTCCTGCTTTTTTATGCAGTATCTTCTAAGTTAAAGTCCATCATGGATGCTTTGTTGGAAGGAGGTCATAAGACTGTACCCTAGCTGCATGGGAGGCTGGGAAAGCAAATACTTAGCTTCATTAGTAGGTGGAGGTTCTGGTTTCTTTCAGGACTCATCAGAGGGGAATTCCTTGGGCATATGAAGATGTTCTGATGCTGAGCAGCCAAAAGAGTGACCTGTCCTTCATGATGCTTTTCTTTGGAATCCTACCTTGCTCTCCTTTCTCTCTTAATTCACGTTTCTACTCAAATGTCTCTCCTCAAAGAGGCCTTTCCCTAGACTTTGTCTAAAATGGCAATTCCCCATCTCTAATCCAGTATTCTCTTTTATTAACCTGCCTTACATTTTCTTCATAGCATTTATCCTTACCAGTACTACTATTATTGATTGATTGATTGATTGATTGATTGCTATGCTCCCCCCAAGAACACAAGCTCTGTGAGGGTAGGGACTTCTTTTTGTTCACTTTCTGTTGGCACATATATGCTCAGTAAACATTTGTTTAATGAATGAAGGGGAAACATAGATTATGGTATAAATCCCTGAGAAAATTTAAAGGGAAGCATTATAGAGGAATTAGCTCATTTAAGGAAGGCTTATTGGAGAAGAGTAATTTTTGAAATGGGCTTTGATTAAAGTATCAGATTTGGAGAGAAGATATGTAGCCATCTAAACTGGGCAAATAGTACGAGGGAGGAAGGTATTGGGTCTGGAATAAGGTGAGCACATATCGAATAAGGAAGAATTGTTTAAAATCTGATGGCTGGGGCGCCTGGGTGGCTCAGTCGTTAAGTGTCTGCCTTTGGCTCAGTTCATGATCCCAGGGTCCTGGGATCGAGCCCCGCATTGGGCTCCCTGCTCGGCGGGAAGCCTGCTTCTCCCTCTCTGACTCCCCCTGCTTGTGTTCCCTCTCTTGCTGTGTCTCTCTCTGTCAAATGGATAAATAAAATCTTAAAAAAATAATAATAAAATAAAATCTGATGGCTGTTGGGTCCTTTATGAAGTGGGAGTTGAGAAAAATGGATGAGGTGAAGGTGCAAGGTTGGAGCAGTTGATAGAGGGCCTTGAACTGTAAGGTGGTCTTTGACTTGATTGCTAGAGAGTAAAAGATTACTAGTGTTGTGTTTTTTTTTTTTTAATTAAAAATAGGCTGGTATTTTCTCATAGTACTCTACAGGTATAAAACAGAATGAGGTAAATCTCTATGGAGAATTTTCCAGGATATATATTAAATGGAAAAAAAAAGTACAGAACAGTGTATGTAGTATGCTCTTTTGGTGTAAGAAGTGTGTGCATGGGAGTAAGAATACACACACCAATTTGTTTCTGTTGCAGAAAGAAAAACTGAGAAAGACAGACCAGAAACTAATAAAATGGTTACCTTGTGGTGGGGGGAGAGGGTGAGTAGGAAAGGTGTGAAGGAAACAGGAATGGGAGTGAGATTTCTGAGTTTATTTAGTTTTGACTTTTGAATTATATAAATATTTCACACATCAAAAATTGTAATTAAATGAAAATAAAAATCTCTAAAATTGAGAACAAACTTAAACAAATGATCCTATGTGTATATCAAAATAGTTACTTAAACGTGGAGGAAAACACAATTTCAAGTGACTTTTGAGCTCAATATCAAATGGCATATATGCTAAGGACAAAAAGAACTAAAAGAAATCTTAAACTTCATTCGTTTTATTGCTAGTTGTAATATTGGTATTTTTATTTTGATATCATTTGGTACCTGTTGTTGGTTAAAGCCAGTAAGTTTTTATGCTTATATGTTAGAAACCAATAGAAATACAAGTATAAAATCAAAGAAGCTAAGCAAAAAGAATATTTATAATGATGAACTTGAATTACAGATGTCAGTTTGAATTCAGGATTTAATATATATATTAATTCCATCCAAATATATATATTTCTTTCTTAGCTCTGTACACTGAAAGGATCTAGAAACAGTATGTTACTTTGGTAGATGTATTTGTATTACCCCGATTTTGGTCTTTCGGTACTTTCATTTAGAATCCAGGGCTCCTTGAAGAAATGACTGATTGCAGGACTGGGGCAGGGAACATACCTAGTGAACCTGGAACATCTTGTGTCAGAAGCAAGAAAGCTTTCACAGACCCAACTAAAGCCTACCTGAAGAGGCTCTTGTTGGCCGAAATTGGGACAGTTTGAACATAAAGGAGAATAAGGAGAGCAATTTGAAACCATATATAACAACAATAAAAAAAACAGACAAATGGAGATGGCTGTTAACACCTATCCTTTACTCTGAAAATTGGTAATTTAACATTTGAACTGCTTTTTTAGTAGAAATGTATTACAGTTAGTGAGGAATGCCAGATAATAAATATAGAAAGAATTATAGAATTAGAAAGTCACAATTTGTTACATCCTTTTATGAAATATTTGACTTGGGCCAGGATCATTAATGGATGCTAAAATTGTTAGGCAAAAGGTTCATTGGGAATTGGATATTTGCATGGTGCCAAAGTACTCCACAGAGTACTAGTTGGTCTCAGAACAATAAAACTTTACAGTGGAAGGATCAGGCTATTACCAGCCTAGTTATTAATCCTAGTATCACTAAAAATGAACCAAAAAAAAATACGTGCTTCCTGATGTGATTCAGTATCAAGTATAGTGCATCAACTGAAGGTTTTTTGTGCCAAATTTAAAATCTGAATTTAATCAAACTTTTCAGACTGACTTTCAGTTTATAAGAGATATGGGAGATGAAAGAAATTAAGTACTACCTTGGATGAAGCAATCAGAAAAATACAGAATGTGAGATACAGATGAACTGGCCATTTAATGTCATGGGAAAGGAAAACAAGGGTGGGGTGTGGGGGGAAGGGAAAATGTCCTAGAATATAATTAATCTAGAGATATAACAACCAAATGCAGCATGTGCCAGCTGTAAAGTACATTTTTTTTTAGAAAGGAGTAGGATGAAGCAAGATGGCCAACTTTTAATTTAGAATGTGGGTGATGGGAATATGGGTGTGTGTGTTTGTGTATACACACATATATTCATTTATATGCATACACATACACTTTTCTATATTTGAAAGATTTTATAATAAAAACTTAATATTTTTCTGTTGATGGACACTTAGGGTTCTTCTTTTTTTTTCTATTACAAATAATGTTTCTGTAAACGTTTCTATATGTGTTTCCTCTCTTTGTGTAAGTGTGTGTTAAGGAGATACGGCAGCTTCCTAGTAGTGGAATTCCTGGATCAAAGGGTAGGCATACTTCAGCTCTACTAGATACTGATAAATTGTTCTTCAAGTGGTTGTACTGAGGAGGATTTTAGAAAAGGGAATTATGAGATATATGTCTTCTCTACTAGGTGATGAATTCTTTGAGGGTAGGGACCATGTAGAGATTCATACAGAAATGTTTGAGTTGAATGAAAGTGTATTGTAGTGGGATTGCCTGGCAGTGGGATGGAGGAATTAGAGTTAGGTCAGCCAAAAGGCTATTGTGATGTTTAAAGTATGAGGCAATGAATGTGTAAGACTAGAGGTAGTGGAGAGGAAGGGATGAATATGAGAAGGTTTGGAGAGAAAGGATCAAAGTGTATGTGTTCTTATTGTTGGGGAGGATATTGATGATTCACTGTTATGGCTTATAACACCCTGTAGTTTGTTGGCTTCATTTTATAGTAAGTAAGTAAGTTATGCTTCCCTATTAATTCAAAACCATCTACTGGCCTAGTTCCAGCAGAGTTCTAGCCTTGTCTTCATCTTCTGCTTGTATTGTTTTTAAGCCTCAGTCTCTTCCTGGGATAAATCTGTGTGATTAGAAGAGAATAGTCGTTGACTGGGGTAAAGGTGCAGTGGGTTGCAAAGAAGAGAAGAATTTATGTAGTAGTATGGGTAGGATTTATGGGTAACTTCATCACCAAGTGAGTTTTTGAAGTCTTCCAAGGACAAAAGATACCTTCCTATAGTTTTTAAAGGGAAAGTCTGTCTAGTGTTATAACAGGGATAATTCATCAGATGCAGTTTTTCTTAGAGAATGTCCGGTATCTCATTTTCAAATGTTGCAACTTTTTGTAAATTCTAAAGTTGGTGCCTTCAAGAAGTTTTTGTTTATTTTTTAAAGATTTTATTTATTTATTTGACAGAGAGAGAGCACAAGCAGGGGGAGTGGCAGGCAGAGGGAGAGGGAGAAGCAGGCTTCCTGCCGAGCAGGGAGCCCTATGTGGGGCTTGATCCCAGGATGCTGGGACCATGACCCGAGCTGAAGGCAGATGCTTAACCGACTGAGCCACCCAGGTGCCCCAAGAAGTTTTGATTAATGGTTCTCGAATAGCTCTGTCCAACAGAAATATAATGTGAGCTGCATATTTAAAGTTTTATAGTAGCCACACTTAAAAAAATTAATTTTAATAACATTTAAGCCCATATATCCAAAATACTACCATTTTAACATGTAATTGATATCAAAGTTGTTAATGAGATACTTTACATTCTTTTTTGATACTGGTGTGTTACACTTAAAGCATGGCTCCATTTGGACTGGCCACATTTCAGTGCCTAATAGCATAGTGCCTGGTAGCTGGTGGCTACTGTATTGGACAGCTTAGTTCTAGAACATACTCAGTTGAAACCTTTGAATTCAGTTTGGTACTGATTTGACCCACAGTCACTGAGGGTGGCCATGAGCTGATCTTGCTTCATAGACCTGTTGCTGCTTATTAGATAAATTCTGGCTTCCTGTCCACATTTTTTATACTAACGTGCATGTGCAAAAGTGATTTTGAGGGTCCCAGACAAAGCCATTATCCAGATTTACTGATTATGTTCACAATTTTCCCTTTTGCCTCAGAAAACATAGAACTGACCTCAGATTTTTTTGGATCAACTCTGTCAATTTGAGTTGCTGCCAATAAAAAGAATATTCAGGCAAGTTCCAATCTCATTCATTTGTAAGGCCTTTAGTTACAACAAGGCTGCTAGGAATTCAGCGAGCATTTTATTAATTGTGACATTTCCTAGAATTTGTGAGGCTGTCAGCTTAATTTTCATTTAAAAAGTCAAATGTTAGATGACTGGTGGTTATCCCAAGTATTTCTGGAGTTTCTGCTGTGTGTCTAGTGTTTATTTATTCAGTCAGTGTTTGTTGAGCCATTTACCAGGTCCCATAGTTCAGGCACAGTGACAACATGTAGCCAAGGAAACAGGCACATGTAGTGTGGTCTGATAAGTGCCGAGGTAGAGAGAAACTTAAGATGCTAGAAGAACACACAGGAAGGACACTTCATTTAATTGGTGGGGGATCAGGGAAGGCTTCTCTGAGGAGATAAGCTGAACTCTGAAGGGCAGGTAGGAATAAATATGGCAAAAGTGGGCATGGAGAGCAGAACATTCTTCCCGGCAGAGGGAATGTTTTGTATAGATGCCCGAAGGTGAGAAAAAGGGCTGAGTATGGCACATTGTCTGGAATATAGAGTTTAGTGTGAGAGGTGGTGAGTGGTATAAATGGGGAGACGGTAACAGATGCCAAATGTGAAAGGCCTTGAATCTAATGGCAAAGAGTTTGACTTTATCCGAGGTAACTGACAAGGGGCATGATTTCTGTTTAAGAATGACTAAGAATTTAGTAGTAGAATGGAGAATGGATTAGAGGAAGGCAAGACAGGCACAGATACTAGTTTAGAGGTGCTCTAGGAGAGAAAGGATGGAGGCATGAACAAAGTTTGTGGCAGAGAAGAAAAGACTGTCAGCATTTATTTATTTATTTAAAAGATTTTATTTATTTATTCATGAGAGACAGAGAGGCAGAGGCAGAGGCAGAAGCAGGATCCCCGTGGAGCAGGGAGTCCAACACAAGGCTGGATCCCAGCACTCCAGGATCATGACCTGAGCTGAAGGCAGAGCCTTAACGGATTGAGCCACCCAGGTGCCCCTATTTATTTATTTTTGAGAGACAGAGAGAGAGAGGGAGGGGGAGAGAGAGTGAGGGAGGGGGGGAGAGAGAGAGAGAGTTCGAGCGTGCACAAGCAGTGGGGGAGGGGCAGTGGGCGAGGGAGAAGCAGACTCCCTGTTGAGCAGGGAGCTCAATGCAGAGCTTGATGCGGGGCTTGATCTCAGGACCTTGGGATCATGACCTGAGCCGAAGGCAGACACTTAACCGACTGAGCCACCTAGGCGCCCCCAACATATATTTATTGAAGACCTACTCTCTATCACTGGAAAGAGGTAGAAGGATTTAAGAGACATTTAGGAGGTAAAAGTGATAGGTCTTGACTGATTGGAATCGAGGTGGGTGGAAGAAGGGGTCCAGGATGATTCCAAAGTTTCTGAACTATGGAACAAGCCACTACTTGGACAATTTGACTTTTGAAGTGCCTTGGCATCTATCTACTGATGGAGGTATCTATGCAGTTGAATATTAGGGTCTAGTGCTTAGAGGGAGGCCTGGACTGAGATAGATTTGGAAGTCATCAGGTAATTATGGCTAAGAAAGATAAACTTGCTAGAAGAGAGAATGTAGGGAAAGAAAAAGAGGGCTGAAAGATGAAACACTGAGGGACCGCCAGTATTTAAGGGGAAGAGAAAAGGGATCCAGTTGAAAGACACATAAGCTACCATTCTTGCCTCCAAGCATTTTATAATTTAAGTAGGACACATAAATATGAATCATTTGGTGACCATTGCAAATCAGAGTCTAATTTGGTGCCAAGTTTCATTGTACCACCTCTTGTATTTTATGTGAAATGAAGTTAGGTATGTAGAGATAGTGGTTAGTGTTTAGGCCAGGGAGCAGCATTGGTAGTGCATGCATTCAATGGGGACATCTAGCCACTAGGAGGACTCAGACCATGGGGTATAGCATAGTGATTGTGACTTTGGACCCTGGAGCCAGACAGCCTTGGTTCAGATCTCCACTAGCAGTATGACCTTGGGCAGTGTAACCTTCTGTGCCTCAGTTTTCTCAACTGTACAATGATGATGATAATAATTCTGCCTTGATGGTGTTGTGAGATTGAATGAGTTAGTATGTGGAGATTCTTAGACTGTATCTGGCACAGTCTTTCTCTTGTTCTTTGCTGTCTCTCTGTGTACATACATACATACATACATACACACACACACACACAGCTATGTTATACCCTACTATGTTATACCCACTATTGTGTATTGTAGTGTTATATAAGTGTTAGGAATTATCATAATTTAATAATTGGTGAGTCAAATGAGGGCTCATGTTTTGGACAGGATAGGTAGGACCCAGAGAAGGAAAAGTTTCCCAGAGAAGGAATGTTCCCTCTGTGATAAACTTAATGTGAAAGCAGATGGTTTTAAGCAGGCTTTCACTGGTAAAGTGGGTGAAAAGGTGATACGAGAATCCCCATTCCCCCGATTCCCAGTTGGAGGCAAAGAATGTCCTTTTAATAGAAAGCTTTAAAGATGTTAAAACAGTTGTGTGTGGTGCTCTCCCTGTGTGGTAGTGGGATTTCCTCAGGTCACGTTTTCTTAAAGTTATTTGAAAGGAAGTGTTTCATCAGCTTTGTGTGTGAGTTCACTGGATCCTTGGCCGTGACTTTGGGAAGATCTAGATCTGGAATCAAGGTTCTGGCTTTGGGGATTGGGGACCTTGTGGAGAAGCAGTCATTGTATATCGATGGTGGGAGTGTAAATTGGTATAATCTTTTGGTAGATAATTTGGTAGTATCTGTCACAATTAAACTGTGATTTTAAAAATCTAGCAATTACACTTCTTAGAATAATTTTCGTAAAAGTGCTAACCCAAGTGTATGGGTGTGTTGCAGCACTATTTGTAAAGATAAAGATAAAGGGATTGAATAATTAATGTACTCATACTCCATATGTTTCCTGTTTCTGTAGTGTAGTAGTTTCCTATTTGCTGTAACAAATTGCCACAGATTTAGTGCCTTAAAACAACACAAATTTATTATTTTACAGTTATGGAGGTCAGAAAACTCAAAATCAAGATTTTAGCAGGGTTGTATTCCTTTTGGAGGTTCCAGGGAAGAATCTGTTTTCTTTCCTTTTCTAGTTTTTCAAGGTTGCCTGCATTTCTTGGCTGGTGCAGTACCCACTCCCCTAGCCCCCACCTTCAAGCTAGCAACTATAGGAACTTCAAATCTCTCTCTCTCTCCCTCCTCTGATCTCTGCCTCCTTCTCTCTGACCCTCACCCTCCTACATCTTCCTTATAAGGACCCTTGTGATTACATTAGGCCCATCTAGATTATCCAGGATCTTCCTATCTCAGGATCCTTAATTTAATCACACCTGGAAAGCCTTTTTGCCACATAAGCTACCATTCACAGATTCTGGGAATTAAGATCTAGACATCTTTGGGGGGCCATTATTCAGCCTACCATAGTTCATGATACTGTGTAGGTAGTAAAAAGTATGTTTTTACGTGTGTGCTTAGAAAGATGTCACTGATAAAACAAGGGGATCCCTGTTAAGTGAAAAGAAGCAAGTTGCAAAACTATTATAATATGATCCCTTCTTGTGTTTTTTATTTATTTGAAAAGAAGCATTGTGCCTGTGTGTATTTCTATAGGCATAGAAAAAATCTAGAAGGCTACACACTAAACATTTAAATAGTGGTTATTTCTGGGGAGTAAGACTATCAGGAAGTGTAGGGATGACTTTGAATGATACATTTTTTATATAATGTGAACATGTATTTGTTTATTGTAATTTTATTTTTATGAAAGTATACATGTACAAAATTGAAAAGTAAAAATACAAGGTTTATGGTAAAAACAACAACCCTGGAGTCCCTTATGTTATTCCTCCCCACCCCAGAGCCTTCTTTTCCAGAGGCATCCATTCTCTTTTTGCTCTATTTTTCCCTAGTACTTCCCTCCATATTTCTAAATAACAAGCTTATGCTATTTATTGATTTTTCTGTATTAGATATCTTTGACTTCCCACTTATGAAGATGAAGCTTTGGCCATCTTAAACCAAACCACCTCTAAGCATATTTTCCCGTACTCTTTATCTTTTTTTATTTTTTATTTTTTTAAAGATTTATTCATTCTATTTATTTATTTATTTTAAAAGATTTTATTTATTTATTTGACAGAGAGGGATACAGCGAGAGAGGGAATACAAGCAGGGGGAGTGGGAGAGGGCGAAGCAGGCTTCCTGCTGAGCAGGGAGCCCGATGCGGGGCTCGATCCCAGGACCCTGGGATCATGACCTGAGCCGAGGGCAGATGCTTAAGGACTGAGGCACCCAGGCGCCCCTAAAGATTTATTCATTTTAGAGAGAAAGAGGGAATGTGCACATGCATGAGCTGGGTTCTGAGGGGTGGGGAGGAAGGGCAGAGGTAGAGAATCCCCAAGCAGACTCCTCACTGAGTGGGGAGCCCGATGCAGGGCCCTGATTCCACCACCCATGAGATCATGACCTGAGCTGAAACTAAGAGTTGGCCACCCAACCCACTGAGCTATCCACGTGCCCCTCAGTCTTCATCTTCTTAATACAAGTACACCGAAAATTTTGCTTGGATTAGTATTCAGTGGTTATTGCAATCCTGGAACTACTCTTCTTCGCTAACCCATGCCATGTATAGATGTTGGGATTACATTTTCTTTCTTGTGTATGTTTTTTTTCCCTCCCTCTGAAAAAGAAATTGTGTACTTTTTTCTTTTGCTTACTTTTCTTGTATCCATCATTAACCCATGTCAAATTCCCCACTGGAAATCTCATTCTTTTCCTGGGAGTCTTATCAGCCTATCTTTTCCTTGGAGACCTCCTTTTGGAACCTCTGTCCGGCTCCAATCTGGATTTGCTTTCTAGGTCTCTGATACAGCCCATCTTGGGGATCCTCTTCCACTCTGTTTATGTTGGATCCCTTTTTTCCTGAAGCCCTTGATTCTTGTTATTGTTTATTCCTGGTCTTGGAGGAGTACATCTTCTGGTGGTTTTCTGAAACAAGGGTCTATGGGAGATGATTTTTCTTTAGATACTTTATATTTGAAAGTGTCATTTTTAAGTTAAAAAAAAGCCCACTAGACAAAATGGAAATGGGAGAAAATTCCAAATATACCAGAGTTCATATGATTATTTTTTCTTCAAAGGAATCACACAGAGAAAGACTTGAAGGGCATGTTCTTTTATATCCCTGCAGATTCCCAATGTTCTCTAATTTAGAACAGAAGAGTTAAGAATATGGGTCTTATCTTTAAAACTAGTGCTCTTTGGTAAGTCCTTTTATTCTTTGTCTCCTTTGCAAAATGGAGACCATAACTGTTATGCTAAGTCTGTTTAGATTACATGAGACAATGTAGGTAAAGATTTAGCAAGATGCCAGGTACTACTTTTATTATCCAAGTTATTGTCTTCCCCCCTTTCAGAAAAAGATTTTATTTATTTATTTTAGAGAGAGAGAAAGAGAAAGAGGGCATGAGCAGGGGGAGGGGCAGAGGGAGAAGCAGACTCCCCGCTGAGTAGGGAGCCCCACAACATGGGGCTTGATCCCAGGACCCTGGGATCACGACCTGAGACAAAGGCAGAGGCTCAACCGACTGAGCCACCCAGGCACCTCTATTTTCTTTCTTTTTTCTTTTTTTCTTTTTTTTTTTAAAGATTTTATTTATTTGAGAGAGAGAATGAGACAGAGAGAGCATGAGAGGGTCAGAGGGAGAAGCAGACTCCCTGCCGAGCAGGGAGCCCGATGTGGGACTCGATCCCGGGACTCCAAGATCATGACCTGAGCCGAAGGCAGTCGCTTAACCAACTGAGCCACCCAGGCGCCCCGAAAAGCTTTTTAATAAAAGGCTTTTGTGCTTATTCATTTTTTTATTATTTATTTATTTATTTATTTATTTATTTTTTGCTTACTCATTTTTTTAACTACTATTCTTTACAACATTCTACTTGTCTCTTTTATAGATCTATTAAATGCAGGCTATGAGATGTTCACATTTTTTCACTGAAATGAC